TCCGTCATACGAGGCTCGAGATCGCTGACTGATTTTGACGGTAATCCTGCCATTTCAACGGTTTCGTTGAATCAATCGACATCGAACGACTATCGAAGCAGTATTAGCAGAAACGAAGCTCTAATCGAACCAAACACAACAGCTAGCTCTCCATCTTTAAATGAAATTGTTCATATTCGTTTGCAAAGTAGACCAAGAGGACATTTACTTTAAAATTCAATATAAATTGCTAGTTGAATCTGGTGTTGAAGTTCTTTGGTATGTAAGAACAACTCGATTTTTGTCCAAGGACAAACAATATGTCTAATATATTTGAGAGACCAGGGGATGGCTATAAACCTGCCTGATTGCCAAAATGCCAAAGTATTGAGTTTCCTAAGGTTCAAATATAAATTATATGCAATCGTAGACGTAACGAACACAGTGAATTCACTTTCGAGTTATCTACTTTCAATCTACTTCCACACTACATCAATCTGTTACCCTGTTTGAAAGACAGAAAGCTTGCGGTTGCAGGTTAGCGTGAAGAGATGAGAGATAAAACTGTGGAATGGCCAGACGACCTGCTGGGAATAACCTCTTGAAAGGCCGGTTGATGTTATTGTAAGTGTGAGTATCAAAGTTTCTTGGATTCCGAGAATATTTGCAACACGTAGTCCCTGAAACTTGTATTTAAAGCGACGCTGAGTGGCCAGTTGATTTCGTTCTAACTATAGGCGGTTTATCAGATATTCGCTCTAAAACCGAAAATAAAGGAATATCTATAACTTGATAACTCAGACGTTATTAATATATAAAATTTATTATTTATTTACTATTTTCGTTCGAGATGAAAATGTATTAACTTGCAGAGCGATTGGCTATGAAGCAGGCTATGTGCGCTGTAAAGCTGTGACTTAATATAAAATTTAAACTCTGCGTAATCTACGAACGATTCAGCATCGTTTCAACTATGGCAAAGTAAATGCCTATGTGCATTTAAAAAGAACACCCTAATTTGTGTAAGAAATTGCCTTAATGCAAACTGTGGCCGTTCGTCATGCTTAAAAGGTGAATGTGCTAGTCTCTAATGAACATGAACGAATGGAATTCGATATTGAAAGTGGTTTTGAGCGATCAGTTACGTTTACTCTAACTATAGGTATCGACGTTCCCCAGATATTTGTTTCCAAGAATAACATAAATTCGTAATGTTGAATATAGTCTGGAACGACCATTTGATTTTACTCTAAACTATTTCATTAGAAATCTAAAGTAGTCTGGTTTGAGTGGTTCTCGGATGTTCGTTCGAAAATGCAAAAATTTTGGACGGAAATCCGTAGCACGTGTAAATTCGTAGAATTCAATACTAATAATTCAAGGACCTGTACAAACATTAAACATCCACCAGTCATGGAGCATATTAAAGATTCCATCGCTATTGGACCACGTACCAGAGAGTACATGGATGTTATGAAGCACGATCGTAATAAAACGATCACGTAATACCAGTCATGCTATCGAAGTTCCTCTATCCGCATAACTCAATACTAAAGACACTTAAGTTAATAAGGTACGACCTCTCCCGAATTATCAGATCCATACCTCGTACGTATCACGTCACGTGACCTGGCTTTCACCGAAGAATTTCAATTTCAAATGAATCATTTAACAATTAAAAAAAATAGGGCCCATTCAGTAACAGCCCGAAACGTGTTTCGAGCAACCATGTTACTTATTAGCAGCAGCGTTTAAGTATCAAATACTCAAGTATAGCGTTAAGAAGATTAATATTGTAGACTTAATTGTCCACGTTGAACAAAATTTGCTTGAATGAAAATTTTCGACGACTCAGATTTATTCAAATTGACATTCCCTAAAACAAACATCGATAAATTGGATCCGTGGACGATTGCTATTTTATTTGTTTAAATTTGTCTCGAATACGTTCCCTATTCGTCGAATCGGTCCGGAAGACGATAAACCCGATGTTGGGACAATAACACGCGGCGATAACGATGAATGCACCGAGTTATAGTTAGTTATAACAATAGCGATAATGACAATAACGGCAATAATAGCGGTGACTTCGTCGAACCATGAAAAGGTGGCCATAACCGCGAGACGATAAGGCGAGAAAGTGGTGGAAAAGTGTACGGGGGATTGTTTGATCGATTTCTAATCTCGCGCGACGATTTTATGAAGTTTCACGGGCTCGCGTCGGATTAACGGCGCACTCGCCAATGGCAGATCGAAAATTTTACCACGGAAGCATACTGGCCGAGAGAGACTTCGATTATCACGCGTATACGTTATCAACGTAACGTTATCCAGTTTGTCGGTTGTTACAACGTGACGAATCGGGTCGCCGGAATGCTCGATTAGCGAATAGCGTGCTACACCAGGCTACATGGCGTTGCAGATCCTATCTGGGGATCGTGCACGTGGAAAGCAACCGGGCTTGTTAAAGTCTGACACCGCTGAATAATAATTTTACAGCCGCTGGGAGTGTCCATGTAACGATACACCGTTCACGCGAATTAGCCAAATTTTCAATACATATATATTTTGAACGTTCCGCGAGTCGTCTATGCATTTCCGAAACACGCGTTATTTTAACTTTTATATATTTCGTGTCTCGAACGAAGCATTAAAATAGAATTCTTGATGCGGTTTGCGACAGTTCGTATATTTTATTTCAAACTTTTTCATTTGGGTTATCTTCAGATTTATGCAATGAAAAATATATAAAATATACACAAAACCGCAGACCCCGTAATCTGAAAGACAATACTGTACATTGGGAGCGAATAATTTGTATTTATGTAAGCAGACGCGTGACGGAAGTGACACATGGTTTGCAGTTAAAATTAATAGACGTTATGAAGATTAAAATTGCACGTGATTATGTTACAAGAACGACGAACCAACGCAGAGGTTTAAATTAACACCTTGATGTTGGTTTCGCGGCTATAAACATTAAATATTTTTGACGTTTCGACGAACAAATCCATGCCAGCGCGGGATACCCGATGTCGTTCATTTTTTAACAAAGATTCGAGGCCAGAGATGAAATTGGAAATTACGTGAACTAAGCGAGACGAACTTCCCCGCGGTCCCATCGTAAGACTTCTCGAGATTTTCCGGTTTACTTTTCAAGGCGAAACGAGAAAAACTTTCGAATAGAGCTCGGCATGTTTTCTGACTACCTACAAGTCGGCCGAAAGTTGGTAAAATTTTTCGTTTTTTTTTTTTTGCAACACCGGGGCGAAATTGCATCGGTCCTGTACCTCGGGACCGTCGCGAAGTTTCGCGCACGATTTCGACAACGCGCTCCGTTTCTCCGCAAGATTCATTTAAGTCGCGTGTTCCGTCATGTGTTCATTGAATCTGTAAAAAATCACGACGAAACTGCAGAACGACGAAGAAGCCGAGCGAGAAAGCAGCCAAGCGTTTACGGATCGCGCAAACACGGACGGGAAAGGTTCATGGAAATCCAGCAGAAATTTTACGATTTACGTTGCGAATCAAAATCAATCGAGTCGTCCTTAAAACAAATAGCTAAATATTTGTCTCGCGTTCCCTCGGCGAAATCGTTAACGTTTTCGTCACAGATTTCGATCGATTCCGCGTCTCTTGGTTTGCTACATTTTGCTTCGAGTTTAACTCTGACATCAACGCGCCGAGAGTACGCCAGATTTGCTAATAAATAATTTCCACAACGTCGAAAGAAATGTTACTTCGCCCGGAGGAACATTGTCAAGGAACTAAATTGATTCTTCGTAAAGAAATAAATCGAAAATGTAGATTAAAGTTTTTTGTAAACCATCGCTAAATTAAAAAAAAAGAATTCCTTCGATTCTGGGTTAAAATTGACTCCGTAGTCGAATGATCAACAAAAAAAATAAAATGCTATTTTAATTCGATATATTTCGCTCGTTAAAAGTTGCAGCCGGTTCGAAAAACTGTCATTGAATTAGAATCGAGATTCTTTGCACCTCCGACAAAATTACACCGAGAACGTTCCCCGTCATCGCGAGTACTCCTTGTAAATTTTCGCCAGACGCGGCGGAAAAAGAAAAATTATAATTCGCCAGGCAAAGTAAAAGGGTTCCCGGCGAAGCCAGCAGATTGGCTGCAGCGTCGGAAAAGCTTTCACAGCCAGCCTTGGCGAGTTTCTGACCCCGTTACGCGCATTGTACCGACGCGAACTTTCAGCATCCGTATCCTGTTTCATTTATCGACCGAGAGAATGTCCAGCGATTAGGCGGGCGGGAGCGTTCATGCAGAAAGCGACGAGCGATGTAAAAAGGAAAGAAACGCACGTCGAAGGATGCACAGCGAGGTATTCAAAACGTTGATACGTGAAATAAGTCGCCGCTTTATTGTCGCGCGGAAAAGTTTCGATGAAAATCGAGTTTACCAAGGACGACGCCGCATACTTCAAACGTAACGCGATGCCCGCGTTCGCCAAAAAATTTCAAACGTTCCCGCTCTCGTTCTCTCCGACAAACTTCCGCAATTAAATTTAATATGTCGATCGTCGACATTTTTATACGTAGAAAGACATATTACTGGCCAATCTTTTTGAAATTAGCGCTTGATAAAAAAATTGTAGAACGAATGTTTTCTGAAATTCGCGTGCGTCGATTGTTTGAACGGAGGTAACTCGTTAAATCATCGAATGCTGCGAGTCGTTTCGACCTTTCGGGAATTAATGAAACCCGTACGCCTTAATTATAGACGGGCAGAACAGTAATTTACCGCGTCGGATAAAAAACTTGTTTGTTTTCTTGTTGCGCGAGCAATTCGAAGAGCCCGGCGGCTAACAATGAATAATTAAGAGCAGCAAGTGTTTAGGTATTGTTCCCGTTTTATTCGTTCCACGTTTCCGTGCGGCAATAAAGGGTAGCGAGGGAGGGAGCGAGGCAGCCCGAGCGGGAAATTTAAACGGCCGTCGTAGCCGAACGATCGAGCATTATGCACGAAATAAAAATTTCTAAGGATGAAAGGATGCGTACCTTGTAACCTAAATAGGCGAGCAGCAGGGCTTCCGAAAGCGATACTATTGCCAGGATCACCTGGACGACCCACAATTCCAAGGGCCTTCTCACCCATAAAATCGCGTCCCAGTTGATGGTCGGGTGCTCCTGAAATTCTTCCTCCGTGAGGTTCTGAGACGCGAGGAACTCGGTTTTGTTGCCGGGCGTGCAACCATAACTGGAAAAAGGATTTTTAAAAGCGGCTAATAAAGTTCCGCGAACTACAGATCCGGGGAAAAATTTTTAAAAGCTTCGTGTAAAGTTTCAGGGGAAGTCCGAGTCGCTGCGAAAAATTTTTAAAAGTGCCAACGTCGAGGATTTCGAAAAGCGAAAACTTTCTAATCGCGTTTAATCGACCGCGACGCGAACTTTGAAAAGTCGTTAATCGAACGTCATTACCGCGGAATTTGATCTAATTGATCCACCGGATTCTTCGAGTTTTCGAAATTCGATTTATTTATTTTCAAGCCGTGTATCGAGCTTGTGAAAAATTTACTTTAATCTAATGGAACAAACGGAAGGCGAATGTATGTAGATACGACGAAAAAATATAAGAAACAGAATAGAAAAAGGGCATAGACAAATATTGCACTCACGGAGACAGTAATTTGAATAGTATAGGAGACAAGAGACAATATAGAAACGGAAAGGAAAAGAGAAAGGACCTGGAGGGATAGATGAGACGCGGAGGAAGAGCTCTAGAAACCTTAGCGCTTAAGGAGTATCGCGGCTCTTAGAGACTCGCGGCAGGAAAACGCAATACCGTTTCAGTTGCAAAGTCTTATCTCGGTTTTATTTTCAGCCACGACCCTCGTTCTACAAAACATCGTAACCTTGCATAAACGTTGGGTTCAAATCGCGAGCCGAAATGGGTTCCTTTACCCCGCGAAGGAATTCTTCCAGGGCCGTTGCGTCGTTGTGAAACGTCCCTGATAAAACAGTAGGAAGATCGCGATAATAAAAGTTACGCGTTCGCTTTTGGAAAACGATTTTTTAATAATAGCTTGCAACAATATTTCGCCAAAGCAGCACGATTGTACACTATTGGTCGAAAGAAATAATACACTGGATGGTTTTTACTTCGTAAGTAATTTAAAGAAACGTTGGGATTTGTTCCAAGGCAGTTATAAGGAACTATTATGAAAATAACAAAATGGATTCTTATGGTTAATACCTATAGTGATGAAGAAAAAGTGGGAAAAATTCTGTATTTTTGGAAATTATTAAGTAACTTTAACTGTATCATGCAACTCACCACGTTGCATAAGTTGGATCGTTGTCGGTGATGACTCTGAATATGTATAAGAAGCATGTTAGCAGCTTAAAAAACAGATTTGCCAATCGTATCCTTAGACCTGAAACAAAAACATTTCGTTACAAGTAAATAACCGAGTAATGTCTTTTCAAATAATTACTTTCTATCTTCTCTGATAAATATAATGTAATTTAAATATATTTATTTTATCGTTGATTGCAGATCTAGGCAACGAAACAATTAATTACGTAATTCGAGAATACTTTGAACTGCTATTTTATTACTTGTACTTGAGTAACATTATTCAATATCAACGTGTACAGAGTTCTCCCAGCTTCGCTATAACGTACTTTTGTAATTAAATATCTTTAACTATGGTAGCTTTTACGCGGCTTCATATCGAGAAGGACTGTAACACAATGACCGAAACGTTCACGATGAAAGTAAACACTGTTCGCGAATTCTTCAATTAGCGTATTTCATCGTAAAGAGTCTCGCGTTTCAGAGCGTGGAGCAATTTACAATGAAATTTTTAAAAATGTTTAATTAGAAGAATTTATTTTATGTAGCTTCTTTATTAACGTTACTGCATCATGTAAAGTTCGGAGACGTCGTAATTTAATTATAACAAATTTTCATAGTTAAATATATAATATTTTTTTGATTACAGAAGCAATTGTATAATTTCTCTGGGTCAATTTATAATGGATTATTTTAGGAGCAGACAGATATTTCAATTTTTAATCACTGACGTATCGAGTATACCATTCCTACATTAATTTTGATATTGGACTTCGTACATTGCAATAATAGAAAGGAATTAAATAATATAGAAATACTACGGTACCAGTGGCAGTATTACACACTACATCCAGTAGAATATTTTACGTAACAGACTGCTAACAAGTTTATTCGAAGATGAAGTACCTTTGTTTCACATTTAATCAATTAGATTGTTCAAACAGACGTGTAATATGATCTTGTTTAACTACTCTATAAGGGTGTTTTAAGCAGGCATTTTGTACCGGTTGTACGCGAATGCAAGATTCTTCGCTCGGAGAAGATTAGCGAACAGCATCAGTGTAATCGAATACCAAGATGATCAGAAGCGAAGCAAAAAGGGTGTTCTCGCCAACGAGGTAGAAAACGAGAGAACAAATATAGGCGGCCAAGACCGAAGTAAGCTTTTATCAGAGTAACTTTATCAGCTTGAATTAGGATATACGTCGGTGGAGCGTCATATTACAGGAATAAAACGACTGCCATACATATACTTCGACGAAGAATACTATACAAGGAATTCAAAACTTTCGGGTTACAAATGTTTTCGCTGCTTTATCCGAGCGAAACGAAAGGTCAAGTCGTTCTATATGCATGCTCGCGGAACAAAAATGCAAATAAAGTGTCCAACAAACGCGGAAACTGCGCTAGATTTCCTTTCAGAAGCCATTAGGAATGGAGCATTATATTCGCGCGCGACTAACGCTCAACGCGAGCAAAATAAAATTATTTTATCGTCACGTGTGGTGTTGCAATACGAATAATACGTGAAATTATTATTGGATAAATAATCGATCGTAATCGTTATAAACAAAAATCTCTTATTCGCAACTTGCTTCCATTCGCGTTAAGATAAAATATCCAAATAATTGCGTGAAAGAAACGCTGACAACTTCTGGACCGATTTAATTTAAATTGCGGGATTAGTAAAGGTTTGATAGATTGTATAGCCACTACGCCCTTGCCAGAGTATGAATGGGAATGGAATGTAAGGATAGTTTTAAGCTTTCTATTTTTCCATTTTCCCAGGGTCTCGTGCGAGCCTGGTCGTCCTGTTAAACACTTGGCGGCCAGAGCCGTGCGAGGCGTCTGTTTTCCTTCAAGGTTTCGCCTGGGCCTCGGACCACCCTGATCCGGGTCCGGCGAGCCTCTTGACTTTTATGACTCTCTTTCGCTAAACTTTTCCTACGCTGAATATTTTCCAGTTTCGTTTTTCCGTCTTTCTGTCCTGTCTCTTTTTCTCTACCTTTGCTATTAGGGTAAGAATTGTATATATTGAAGGGACGTTACAAAGAAAGAGCCCAGTCTGTCATAGACGGCCCCCAGTCTATTTTAGACCTCTGTCTGGTTAAGACGTTGTCGCCTTGCCAGTTTTGATAACAATTTTTACCTACGTGTGGCTACACCCCCGACACCGCGAAAATAAACTGTTTAATAATTGTTGGGGTAGATTCGTTGGTTGCCATTTGAACCTCCAGCCCCCTCAGATGGTTACGTGGAATCTGTCGAACCAATTATTATTTTTATCGCGAAAAGTACCGTCTTGTACGTAACACCTATCGGTTCGTGCGTCAATTTCATGAAATACCTCTTACGGGAACGTGTCGCGTGTACTGACGGGACGAAGTTTCGAGAAAATCCGGAGAACGAATTTGTCACGGGGATGAAATGTGTGTTGAAGGTTATCGACATCCAACAAGAGGGAACAGGCTATTTTAATCGTTTCCTCGTAGCGTTACGAGGCATCGATCTCACCCGTTTCGACGTGGAGATGCGGAGGCGGATACGCAAGGATCGAGGCTGGTATCGGCACGACATCCGTTATCGGCTGCTGCCACCAGCTTCAAAAGATTATACCTTGCTGGCGGACATCCACATGGTTGCTCGTGTTATGATATCACAGCGATCACCGAAATTACGTTACTGGCATGCAACGAGTAACTTGTCACGGAAAGGAATTTCCGGTGCCGTGAACTGTTTCGCGAACAAAAGCTTGACAATCTCGGCGAACGGGCAGACGTCGATAAAGAATAAACGATCTTTTCCCGCGACAATCATCGAGACTTCGCTTCACAGGACCATGGTAATCTCGCGTTGATATTTATGTAACGAAATAATTCGATGGCTCGACGGCGTCAATTGATAGCCGCGTCGACGATGTTTCGATCAATTTAACGATAATGCGCCTCTGTGATGCGAAAATGCTTCGAAGAACACAAGCGTCGGCAGAGTAATCGTGAAAATATAGTTTAAAAAGTTCAATATATTGCGGTATTTATAAATTTGTTCGAAGATTTGTACAAATTAAAACCGAGAAAATATAGTATCCGACAGTATATCAAATTTATACAATTTATATCAAAAATAAAATCTATTGAAATGGACCAGTTCGAGATTTTGTTACGGATAGTGCAAAAGGTGAAGTGATCAATATCGAGCATGTAGAACGCCACAGCGTTCAAAAAATGAACAACACTAGGAACAGACTGCACGAACACACTTGCGTGTAAACTGATACGAACGGGCAAATGCTTCCATATTTGAAAATAAATAAATAAAAAATAACATTCGAGGTTTTGTTTTCGAGATAATTGAATTTGAGAACTTGTTGGATACGCGCGCTACTGAATGCGATTTGTCTGGCGCGTCTGACCATTGATCACAGTTTCTACTTACGTCCATGTTTAAGTCGTACTCTCTTAATATAGAATCGCTATACAGTTGATTCGAGTTGTTTCTAATGTCAAATACAACTTAAATCATTGAAATACGAAAATATATACACCGTTCCAAAAATCCAAACATGATTAATTATAACAGCGAAAAGAAATTGAATTCCGCTGTAAATTTTATTCTACATTCTCTTTAGTTTTATTTCTAATCATACATATTTGTGTGACAATTTTAAGGCCGAGCTTTAAAACAATCGCAATTTATTTTATTTTCAAATAAAAAAACTATAAACTTCTGATCGATGCAAACGTATCTTTACACCGGATAATTGCATTGCTGCGTGTCGAGGAAAAATTACTCGCGCAGATATTTGATCCAGTCATCACGTCAATAGTACTCCAGCAAATAGAAGAATTTTCAGCTGTGAAACAAATATCGAAAAATGTTTGAACCGATGGCAAATAAATGATTTTGACATCCGTGCTAAAAATCTTGACGAGACATTTTCGAAAAGTACTTTATCGATGGAGAGTCTGTGATCGATCAATTTTTAACAGACCACATGGCACCGCGCTCGAAACTACAGGATGTACAGTTTGACACAAATTCGACGAACGTATTTGTATTGTAACGACATAACGGAAAAATCTGGCGTTGCCTGCGAATGACGCCACTGACATACTATTGTATAGTATTGCGTGCACAATCTATTGATACATTCGACGACTGTTTGGAAGTCTATAAATAAGTTGGGTCGAAATAAGATCCACGATTATATTTTAACTCTCGTTGGAATCTAGACCATTTTTGAAATATGAATTTTACAAATTCTAAAACGATATTTGAGACGCGAATGATATTAAAATCTAGCTTTAGAAATACTATATGCAGGAAAAATAATGGAGAAAATAGACGTTTTCTGGTTGGTCGAAATCTGCTGGATATACGAAATTTATAAAAATTACTTACTCGAACGTTGATTCTTAATGAAGTACAGTTGAAGTCGTTCCTTGAACGTGTTCTCGTTCACGTAATATTCGACACGAACTCTGAAATCAACAAGAAAATGTTATAAATATCGGTTCGTTTATTAAAATATTTGTCTGAAAAGTAATTTCAGATATTGAAAGAAAATTCAATACGAATATATTGCAGTAAAGTAAAAATATTTCGATCTGGATCTGACTTAAAATCGATCATCGTTGCTTCGGTTACAAATTTGTTGAGAAACGTTCGGTTTAAGTAGAGTAATGATATATAATTTAATCGTGACGTCGTGACCCGTCTTCCAAAATGTTCGATAGTGAGTGATTACTTTGAATGGACAATTGAACCGAAGGTTATAATCGAACAAATCTGATGGGGCCAAAGTTGGAATAATGACAAGTCGTTCGGTACAAATTGTCTGGCGCAAGATCAAATTTGACTAGCTATTCAATCTCGAGAAACTTATATACCATAGTAAGACGAGTGATGTACGTGTACTGGAAGTTTGTGGTAGAGATTTGTAACGATGTGGTTAAGTTTACGTTACGGAAGGTATTCCCCCGGAACAGCGGTTCTCAAACTTTGTGGTTTCTGGATCCCTTTACAGTCCCACAAATTTGAACGAAACCACAAGGAGTATTTATTATCCCTATTTTACCCATTTTAGAATGACAGCTTTAAGAAATTTTGTAAATATATTTAAATTATTAACACGTACTTTAATTTTCATTCCATTTATCTTTTAATTTCACGAAATTATTATGAAATTAAAATATAATTCACTTTCACTTGATATGAACATTCACGAGCCACGGTTATTGTCAACTACGCGTTAACGTCGAATACTCCAGATACCTCTTCAACGTTTAGGGTCACGACCATATATTAGGAGACCCTTCGCTTCCCCGAAAGTCCCACTGCGCCCTATTCTTAGATATTTCCTTTATTTATTTCCTTTCCCACAACCTTCCCTCGCGCGCATCTCCATTTCTCACATTTTCTACAAATCTGGAACATTCCACATATTTCACACGACTATCCAACATAATAAAACCAAACAATGGGTTATAAATCGTAACTAGCGTTTTAAAAGATTGTTAACATTTTAGGTCACGGACGCATTCGGTTCACCGAATGTAATAGTTTTGCATGTTTTAATTTTGCATTCTACTTTCTCTGGGTCTCCAGCTATAATAGGCTCCACGCATGTCTTGTTTCTCTTTCAAGGGACAAAGTTTTGGGGACACTACACACTCTAAATCTAACCCTTACGCGCCCACGCATGATCGTATACACGAACTTGAGAGGGCAAGCGCACAGAGATGCTGAATTAACCTCTCTCGAGGTCTACGTTCCTTGAGAATTGCTACAAATTACCTACTTTGAACTGCTCTAATTCGCAAATGAAATTGCTGGCCAGCCGAATTTTTCTTTACGCGTTAAAAATAAAAGCACACAGGCGAATGTCTTTTAAAAAAAACACAATTCCAAAGGGGAAACTAATTTTTTCTCAAGAGCAAACCAGGACCTAGATCGTCTCTTAAGATCAACAATTCCTCCAACACAAGCTACATTTGACATCTCAAAACACCAAATCACACTCGTGAATCGTTCGTGAATATTCCGACTTACAATTCCAGACAGACACTAACTTTTTTCAATCTCATTTCAATCCCATCTTCTCAAATTCGTTCCATTAGCCGCGAATCAAAGGATTATGAATTTGATTTAATGCCGTCCGTGGACCGTGAACATTATAACGAATTATAATTCCGAACGGAACACTAACTTTTCCAATTCCATTCCAGCCTCCCCACTCTCAGAGCCGTTTCATTAATCGCGAATCAAAGGATCGTGAGTCTATTTTAGTGTCGTCCGCGAATGTAATCAAACAACTCATAATTCCACGCGGAACACTAACTTTCGCAATTCCGTTTCACCGTCCCATCCGCGATACGTTCCATTAATCGCGAGACCAAAGGATCGGGGATCGAGTTTAGTGTTATCCGCGAGCGTTCTAACGGCTCCGTAAATTCAGACGGAACACTAACTTTTCCAGTTCCATTTAGACCAGACGGGAGTTTACAATTCCTCTTCGACTCGTTCCATTAGCCGCGAACGAAAAGATCGCGTAGCAATCGGATCGTAGCTGGTATTTGCATAAAACGTTACGCACGGAAGTCTCCTCGCGGACTGACGTTCTCATTATCAAGTCGGGGGCCTTCGATTACCATTCGATAGTTAGACCCGGTGTTCTAACTATTATGTCGTGATCGTTTTAACTGCGAGCATCCCAGCGCCGAGACCGATTCCATTGAACGGTCATCGTTCCGTAGTCGATCGTAGACCGGCTGTGGCTATTTATACCGGCGGATAACGCGTCAGCTTCGTCGAGAATAGCGTCGCGTGACGACATCGGACCGGCGTCGACAGACGGTCTTGTCGTACGCGGTCGTTTCGAGTTGTTGAACTGGTTCTTTGACCCAGATAACGTCACGAGAGAGCCTGACTTACGGTAGACCGCCGTACGAAACGTTTCGTCGAGTCATCGTCGGTCCCGGGGATGCTCGGAAATCTTTGAGCCCGGAAACAGTTGTCGGCGGAGGTTCACAGGGTGTTGACTTTGCACCGTGGCCACGTAAAAGTTGCTACGAAAAGCGCCGGTAACCGTGTCGAACTCCCGAAGGTGTCAAGGATGGCGGGATTACTACGAGGGCTTGACTTACTCGCTACTTTCGAGATTTCGTAGAGGTAATCCCACTGTAACACGAGACACCCCTGAGAGACGTTGTGCATCGTTTAGCTGGCGAAGGATTTGAATATATGAATGTTCTGTGGCAGAATTATTCATAATTCTGTTTCTTAAACACTCCGTTCGCGAGACCTTACGGAGAAATTGAGATGCCGTGTGATACACTTCGACGAAGCGCTTTAATATTTTGATATATTACATTGCAACGTGTGTGATGTAATAAGAATTATCAAATAGTACGGTTTATGATATAAAAAGAAAGTTTAATGTGACATAAAAATAAGCGTGAAACGGAAACATCTCTGGTGGTACCGGTAACTTTCCGACAAAATTGAAGAATTTCAAATCGCTTTGGAAAAATTATTTTTGGTTGCGGGGGTCAATTACAATCATTTTTTGATGAACAAACATACCCCCGAAATCCTACGCAGTTTTGAGAAAAAAATTCATTACCGAAAATTTCATGTCTGACCATACCATTGATATGTTTCCCTGAAATTTCATGCGTATGTTTAAAACATCATAACTTCTGAACGGATTGGACGAATTCAATGTTTGAAAATGCAAAAGACGCGTATTTTGATGAAGAATATGTAGAAATTTTAATAATGTTGGAAAAGTTGTTCCTTGACCCCGTAAAGTGAGAAAAACTCCATAAAAATGATCCAATGTTCAAACAGCCATAACTCCTATAATAGTGAATATATTTCAATGACACTTTTTTCTGAAGTAGAGCTCATGGGTACCTTCAGGAAAGTATTAGCCAACTTTTCTGGAGGGCGTCAAACAAAATGACTAAAAATCGAAAACGAATTTTTAAGAAAAATCGACAGGCCTAAAGTTTTTCCGACGAAAAAAAATTTTTCAAATAGTTCTAAAATTATTTTTGGTTACGGGAGTCAATTGCAATCATTTTTTGGTGGCTACAGATAAATTGTTATATACGAATAATAACGGATAATTATTATTTATTATAACGGATACATTGTCGCTACAATGTTGTATAATTACCTCGAATTCAGGATTTTATACGATCAATTAAAACATTCCACCCTGTCCCGAAATGCAAAAATAATTGCGGAAGCGTATATTGAATTCAATTTGAATGGTGCACAGCAACAGTTACGGTCTCAAACAGTGTAGTTCTCGCCTAAGCTCAACATTTGCAGGATCATGTAAACAAGGGTCCGTGGTCAACTACGTGGGGTTCGAACAATTCGACGCACAATTATACGTCATCATTGCGTCATCGACGCAGCGGTCAACCTTTGCGTTCGGACTAATTAACAGTCGTCGACTGTTCCGTGTTGTGCAAAGTGTCAAGACGAGCCACCGTGCTATTCGCGTCTAATTACAGTGGATGTGTTCCGATAGAAGCTCGAATTCGCTGGGGGATGGGTGTGTCGGTTTGCGGCGAAATATGCCAGGAATGGAACACGAAACGAGCGCCGCGAGACGCCCGGAAAATGAAAACGTGCCGCCGCCACGAGCTCGTCTTTGCCTTCGAAACTTTCGGCCAGATTGCGTTCGCTCGGCGCATCGGGCATGCAAACGAAAATTCGATTAGCCCAGTCATGAGCGATATCGCCAGAGGAGGCCTTAACGTGTCAGCGGACCCGTGATCGATTCGCGGCTTCAGTTTTTCCGACGTTTCTGTCGTGTACGTTTCGCCGCGTACGCTTGTTCCTTCGTCGTCGACTCGATTTATCGAGCCTCCTCGCGTCACTGCCGTGACTTTTTGCCACGCGGACAAACAAGAAGCTTGATAAGCCGACTAAGATAAGATTCTTGGTGCCGACGGCGTGAAACTATGAAAGTATTACTTGTACGAGTATATTGGCTTTTTACCAGCGGCTTTTTTAAACATGTAAATAGGAGACTCGAAGTATCCGGACAGGTTTGTTGGTCCTGAATGAAGCAATTCATCATTCTGCGACAAGAAACGTCACACGCTGTTCCTTCGACTCCTTTCCCTGCGAACGTGGCTTTCGGTCGGGTGCACTTTCGCGTCTCGTGGGATCGAAAAGTGGAGGGTGTTTTGGGATTTTCTTGTTGGAGAATCTTTTATACTAATCATGTGGTTTTAATTAATATTGGTAGAAAAGAATAACATCGACTATTTGCTTATCAACCAAATAGAATAAAAATAAATAGCACCAATAAAAAAATAAACCACCATAATGGGCAAAAAAAAAAATATTAATATCAGTACACCAGAAATCTGTATGCATGTGTATCAGAAAAGAAAAAAATTATTCCTTGTGTCAGAAATGCTGTTAATATTTTACCACCGTTATCAAATAATAATGG